TAAGCTTCAACAGAATAGTTAAACGTAGACTCTCTTTCGAAGACTGAAGAGTTGAATTGGTGGTCAACCTCCATAGACAGCCTTCGTCTTTTGCTTATCAATTATAGCTGTGCATGTAGCGTTAATATCAGAAAACAACATTTGGCTCATCTTACCTGAGGATTTTCACCGCGAAAGCCGACTTGCGAGAAACTGAAACTACCAGTCGATGGACCTTTGCAATTCGGGCAGTCAACACAATCCGAACAATTCACACAGTTTTGATTACAGCAAGGATCATTGCAACACGGTGCGTTGCTCCAATTTCTGAATGAGTACGAAATATTATTACTGAATCGTTGATTGCCCAGAGGTGTCGGATTGCTGTTGGCAATATTGTGGATTAACTGGTTGAAGGCATTAGGGTTGGACAGATTAAAATTAATGTTGTTGATTGCTGCTATCGCTTGCTGGGTTCTTGCATTCATCTCCATTAAGAGTCGTTCTAAATCGTTCCTGTTCGCGGCAGCCGTTTGCATTTGATTCATCGCTTGGCTCATAAAGGCTCGATGTGAATCGTTGATGTCGTGCATTTGTCTCATCATATTATTCATATATCCACTCCACAAAGAATTCCAACCGCTATTGCAAAACGGTGCTGGATTCTGATTGCAGAACGGTCGCACAGCATTATTCAGTTGTCCATTCTGCTGATTGCTGCTCATCGCCAGAGCATTTACGCTTGGGCGAACGAAATTTGCCATGTAAGAGACTTGCTTGAGAGAATAGGAAGACTCAACAGGCTAGACGGAAGCACCAGAATTGAAATGAAGCGTGGAGAAGGGATACTAACTAAATGGCTGATAGATTATTCAAATTACTGATCGAATAATGAAGAAAACAATTGATAAAATAATGATGAAAAAAACGAAAACAATTCTGATCGAAAACAATTTTACTCTCGTATTACTCCTTTTGATTTGAATAGGAGGAATTTTAAAGAATTTGAATATTTATGGCTATGTGTAATTCATACGCAAATAAAATTGACTTATCGTTCAATCTGTTCGATTGTTTATCAGAATGATCATTCTTTGTAAGATTTATTTTGTTAAGCGGTAGCCTTAACGAATAGCTATCGCTTCAGCTGTGCCAACGTAAGTGAATTGATACTTCATGGTTCATAAACAGGTTGAGTTACTGAGGTTTTCGGTTGGGATTTTCAGTGATCAGTAGAAAAACATTAGGTAAAGAGTGAGACGATCTGGTTATGGATGAATCTTGTGGAGATTTCATTTCCTATAGGTGTTGTACTTAAATGCGGATTACACTTTCAAGAAGAATCAACAAATGCGCTATTATTCTGATAATAGATGAAACCACTGAAATTCTAATCCAGAGGCACAAAAATTACAAAACTATTACTTTGCTCAAATCATCAGTGTTACTTTTCGAAGCGTATGTATACTAAGAATTTCAAAATTCGTTTTATTTTAGGAAAGTACTCGATTAAAAAAGGTCGGTTGAATTTCTAAACTTTATTGCACCTCGCCTAATGTAATACTTCTAACACTCTCACGCTCTCATTCTCACCTCCCACTTCTCCAAAACTTCTTCTTGTGAGGAACATATCAAAAGTTGATTCAAAGATCAAAAATTTTTACCTTAGAGAATTTCTCGCTGAAAATGTCTTCTTTTAGTCAAATAAATACTTCGATTACAATGTAACAACAAGCACATCACCAATGTAAACTTATCCAAATAATCATTCAGCATTAAGCTGTCAACCTCCCTACGTCGTCCCGATACCTTCAAAATTCTTCCATGATACCATCGCTATAATGAGTGAAGCAATCAATCCTAATGAAATACCAGGAGTGTTTGCGAAGAGCGGAATGTTAAAATATTCCAGCCTACACGCGCAAAACCGATTGTTTTGCATACGTGAGGTTCTGATTCATGAATACAGAAATAATTTTCCAAAGGGAGGTCTTCGGTCTTCGCTCAATACCAAACTTTCCCGTGAATGAATTCAAATCAGATTTCATCACTAACTTACCAAGTAACTTGGACCAGTTATGCAAACCATAGTACACGAATAACCTCAAATGTGTACACTGCAACAACAGATTACACAAGTTACGCTAGATTTCTGTATTCTGTCGCACGTGCCCAGATGTATTTGAATTAAACACAGCAGAAATGGTTTCGGTTGCTGTCTGAATGTGATATGATAAGGACGTATTGCTGAATTACACACTGACTCCAAAATTCACATTTATTCAAACTTTTCAGCCGATTATTGAACATTTTATTGTGAACTGACCATGATGTGATGATTTCGAGCTGAAATGATGAAAAAAACCCGAAAAAACCTTACTGAAGAAGCGTCCAGTTGAAGGAAGCTTATTTCAGATCAACAATGAATGAACCAAGCCCAACTCGTAAACATAAAGCATCAGGAAGCGCAGAAGTGCCTGGTAAACCAGGTCGTAAACACAAAGCATTATCAAGTATTGAGGAGTTCTTCAGACTTCGTAAAAAGAGAGGAACATCAAGTGCTGAATCTACTGAACGAACAACTCATAAGCAGAAACCACCGTCAACTGTTGAAGAGCTTGTGTCATTGGTTAGAACTGCAACATCAGTTGAGGCATTAAAGTCACTGATATAAACGAGCCTTCATACTTTTAGAGAAGTATTTTCAGGGAAAAACTTGAGAAGAACTTAGATTCGAATGAATGTAATGAATTTTAAATAATCTGAAAACTCCGATCAACGATCAAAATAAACATTTTATCTTAGTTAGCTATTGGAAGCTGCGAAAACATAGCAATGTTCGAAAACAGATTTAGTAGCATACTTTCGAGAGCCATACTTTCGAACTAAGTTTGGAATATTGTTGAATGGAAAAGTATACCAGCTTGAGTATAAGTGTCAACTNTTTAGCGTTATTTTCACAAGATTGCTTTGGTGGATGATATGAAACAATGAAAAGATCGTTTTGCAGGCGCCAACACAATCGAAAACATCGATGAAATCAATGCAATCAATGAACTCGAACAGGGTTTGATTATTTTTCTTTATTGTTCCATGAATTGATGCTTTGCCGTTTCCGAAGAATTGAAGTGATTGTTGTCATCTCGGAAGGAATGTGTGAACAACTGATAACCTAACTGAACGAAAGCAAGTATCTTTACACTGTTTCGTGTATCACCTTGTCTTGTTTCCGTTCAATGCAATGCAAATGTAGAAACATACGGTTCCATGTGATATGTTGGGGTATCGACATGACAAATCCTTTAAATGTTGTATTCTCGTGCACATTCAACGGAATGAAACATGTTCAGACGGCTGACAGTTCGGCAAACGAAAAAGACGATAAAGATAAACAATTCGCAAAGGTCAGTCACCGCAATCTCAGATCACAAGTTAAATCGACTTCACTCAATTCCACTCAAACGTCACTAACAGATAATGATTTTCTAGATCGTGTCACGTATGCTTCAAATGAATCCTTGGTATCACGGTCTAATGCCTCGCGAGGAGATCGAAGAACTGCTCAGAGAAGACGGCGATTTTTTGGTTCGACGTACTGAGGTTATTCATTAAAAAGTGAACTCGATGAATATTTCACAGGAAATCCTTATTCTTTGAACGTTTCAATAATGTCATTGCATAGTTGCAGCATCTCTCGTTTGGTTGCTTGCCTTTGACAATACTATTTTTAATATTCACACAACGCTATTAAACTTATAGTAAAAAAAAACGAGAATTGATATCTTAAAAGTATTTCAACAGCAATTCTCAATTGCGTATTTCTGTCATGTCACGTCAGTTTCATTATGTTTACGAATTTTACCCATTATCACTGTTCGAGATTGAATTCATTGCTGACAGGAAGATGTAAGAATCTGCTTGAAGGTTGCTCGAAAAACACGTCTCGCAGTTTCGGTGAAGAATAAGGGTCGCATACGGCATATTCTATTGACACTCTCAGATGGACAGTGGAGTCTTCGAAACGTCAGTATCGTTCCATTCCAATTTCATTTATCCACCTAATGCAAAATCATCAATGAGCTACCTAATCATTGTGGCTGCAGTGAAGCGACCTGATATGCCCAAGTTGTTACAGCAGATGTTTGGATGAGGACTAGGATTCGTACGGGATCTTGGGATCCTAGCCTTTAAATCCTGCTCCTGAGATTGATGCTTTGAAAAATCATAGGATTTCATGATTTGATAAGACAGGATATCTTATGAAAATTTGGTAGTTTGCTCGTGTTGAATTAAGTAGCGATCATTCTCAGTTCATGCATGATTATTGTTTGCTGCACAAACCGTAATGAATGGATGAATCGTTGTTATACGATAACGCCATCATTACGTAAGGCATTGAACAAAATAATACCAGCACTTTTGCTTCGTCTTTCATTATCACCGTTATTCTTTCGTGCATTCCTGATCGTTTTTCAATTTCGGGATTGAGAAATGGTCACAGCATTCAAAAGATCATGCAAAGACGAATAACAAAGATTGACCGAAGAAGTTCAGAAAAAAATAGAGGAAAAATAAAAATTCTGAAGTTCAAAAAAAATAGAGGAAAAATAAATTCAGATGGGAAAAGTAAATTGCTCTAAATAAGTTAGTTTCCTATCAGAATCGCTTTCTTCAGTTGAAAATGGGTTCGTTGACCGGTCTTATAATGGAGCATGTGAAAACTAAAACACCGGTACAAGCAGACGGTGAGTAGTGATGTTCAAAGCATGATCTCTTCTATTCTTGTTTTACACGTGTCCGTCACAACTTTCTTGGAATTGTGCTTTTGATAGGATGCGTAGAACCTGACTGCATATAATTGGAGCATAATTTTGCAGCAAGCAATCAGAATTCTCACTGAAGAAAATGTGTTTCTGAAACATAACAATAAAAATTGTTTATAGGTACAATATTGGTAAATGCAATTCGTCGACCTGATTACTATATTTTGCATGATCACGTTGAGTTAAAACGGAAGATCGGCGGAGGAGCGTTTGGTGAGGTGCATTTTGGTGTTTTGAGAAAGACTGACGGTACGTTGCAAGACGTCGCGGTTAAGACACTTAAAGGAATGATGTCAAAAAAACAACGAACTCTCTTTATGCGGGTAGTTGCTTGATACTACTTGTTAAAAAGCAATACCATTCAAGTGTGATGAAAGATGCATAACGCAATTTGTTGATTTATGACAATGATGAGTATATAAATTGTACGCTCGATTCGATGAACACAAAAGTCGTGGAAATCTGTAAAAGATGGCTCGAGAGCTCAGCAGCGATAGAAGAACGGCTTTTATTATGACCGCTGAAATTTTGGAGAAAAATTTTACTGAAAAAAAGCATCGGAGAGAGTGGGTCCTTGTGGGAGGTTATGAGGCTGAAATGAACTCCCGTCCCGCTCATACCAGATTTTTGTTATGCTGCTCTATAAACGGAACCCCAGGTCGAAACGCTCGAAACGCTCCCAGAAATAGTCAAGCGTAGTGGTGGTATCCAAACGAAATTTCTCAGATTTTACCGATTCTCAGATTCGATCGGTAACCATCACTAGTCAAGGGCAACGTAATCACCGTATTATCTAAATAAGCGAAATTTCATGATCGCACACAATCGATCTGATTATGCAATACTAAATTTCACCTCATTCTCGACTGATCATTCGCAGGAAGCCAAATTGATGCGACGATTCAATCATGCGAATATCGTGAATTTTCTTGGTGTTGCACCTCAAGAAGACCCTGTCATGATCATACTCGAATTATGTCCGAATGGAGCGTTAAATGCAAAGCTAAAACAAAACCCCGATATACTCACCTCAAAACTTGTCGATTACGCAATCGATGCGGCTCGTGGTATGGTCTACCTGTCGGCCCGAAAAGTTCGTTCGTATTATCTCAACAAATTCAAATTTTGCTTACTCATATTTGATATTCATCATATGTTAAGGTTACTTTTTGTTAGCTTAACTGATTCGTCAC